TGAGCATTTGTAAACATAAGCATGCAATCATTAACTGCCTTGCCTGCTTAAAGACTTCTGTGTGATTTTATAAAATAACTTTCTGGTTTTGACAGTAGAAAAACCAATACTGTTCCTTCTGTAAAAATTTGGGTGTATCAAATTAAATAAAGAAGAATTACAGTCACTCACATCCAGGAACATCTGTGTTCACAGGTGTTCCCATGCAATGGGAACTCACTGGAGTGGGAAGGCCTGGGTTTGCTCGGTGATGAGGTCTGATGGCTCAGTGCTGCCCCCCACAGGCTCACTGAGTGTGACCTTGGGAGTAGGAACGCCCGGGCTCCAAATACTGACAACAGTTCAGCTCTGATGAGCTCGCCCAGTGCTGAGGACTCAAGAAGTCTGGAAGAAGCCATTTTCATTTTTGTTGTGTTGTTTTGCAGTTCAGGTTTGTCTTCATTTGAATTGCATTGTGGGAGGGAGCACACTCCTGCCCTGAGGGCGCATGTAAAGCAGCTGCTTGTGTCCCAAGGCAGCTCGGATGTCTGTGACTCCACCTCAAGGGAAGAATAAAAGAATCTTGTGGTCACGTGTGGGGGAGGCGTGGTGTGGAATTTTAGTGCCCCTTTCCCTCTCAACGGGAGCATTTCCTGGAACCTTCTTCCTATTAAGTATCTTTTATTGCAAGTCAACAAAGATGTGTTAGGTCTGTTTAGGGTACTAGCACTGAAATAAACGGCAGTTACTTTTATGAACTTGTATCCAGAAAACTAAATATTTAACTCTCATTTCTTAAATTGAAAAGCATTTACATGACTGAGTAGACCATTTGGGGGCTATGGCACCGTATGGTGGTGAACGGGCAGCAAGTGTCACCTTCAGGAAAACAAACCTGGAGACAGCCTGCCAGGATCAACCCTGGCTCCACCAGCTGCTGAGTGTGGAATGCTGACCAAAGTACTTGACCTTGCTCTCCCTCTCATCTGTTTACACCTATTAGGGTCAGTGTGAGGATTATTTAATGAGTTAGCATAAACTCATGGGACATAGTAGGCATGTGAGAGACGATGGTGATGACTTAGATGAGGGAGCTGGAGGTAGGGATGAGAGAGGTAAAACCAACAGGACTTGGTGATAAATTGGATGTGGCTGGTGAAGGAGAGTGGGTTCTGTCCATGGTGCTGATGTGAGTTTTGTGGGGACACTGAAAGCAGATCAGTTCTGAAGGGGTGTGGGTTTGCTTTGCTTACCCTGAGTAGACTTCTAACTCGTGGCACGAGAAAAGTGCCGATCCTCCATCTGAACTTGGAGGCAATGAATAAACTTGTGTTACAGGGACCCTCCCTCATTTTCACTCTGCACACTACCAGCCATAAGGGGGACTTTCTTATGTGGGCTTTTTTACATGACTGAGTACACACACACATCCCCACAGTCTGCTAGTGCCACCACTCCAGTTTGAGTCACCAATACAAACCTCACCTCCATTTAAATTGTCGTTACACTCTCTCCTTTATAATACAATCATCTCAACTATTTTCCTTACATACATACACCGAGAACCACATCACACAGTTTTATAATTTTTGCTTCAATTATCAAGCATAATTTAGAACCCTCAAGAAAAAAGCTGTTGTTCTCCCCTTATTTTACTCTTCCCATTGTCCTTCCTTCCTTTTTGTTGTTCAGAGATTCCCTTTTTTTTTTTTTTTTTTTAATCCAGTCTCCGTGTTTAGAAAATTCCCTTTAACCTGTCTTTAAAGGTAGGACTGGTAGCTGCGAACTCTTCTTTCACTCTTTCTTTACCTGAGTATGTCTTGGTTTCCCCCTCACTCCCGAAGGATATTTTCACTGAACATACAAATCTGGATTGCAGTTCTTTTGTCACTTGACAAATGTTATTCCACTTTCTTCTGGCCTCTGTGGTTTCTGACAACAATCCTCTGTCATTTGAATTGTTTCCCTTTGGTTAACAGAGCTGGTGTTTCTCTATCACTACTTTTGAAATGTTAGTGTTCAGGTTTGAAAATCTTGTGATGTATCTTAGTATGCACTTTCTGGGTTTATCTTGTTTGAGGTTGTTCAACTTCTTAAGTCTGCAGTTTATGTCATCTGCCAGATTCGGAGATTTTTCAGCCACCATTTTCTCTAATATGTCTCAGCTCCACACTCTCTCTCCTCTGGAACCTTAGAATAAATAAAATGCAGTCTCACCTTGAACACCTGGCAATAATCAGAAAGGGTTTTTACTCCAGGAGTCTAGGTTGAAAATATATATTACTTTAGGGAGAGGTTAAATACATTTATGTATATTGAAGGAAAGGGGGGCTTTCTTATGTGGAAAACCTCTGGGCTGCCCTTAAAATACTGCTAACTGCTCATCAGTAGGGACTTGGAGGGGATTGGATTGAATTTGACCTAAAATGATTTGTTTGGAGTGGTTTCTAATTATATTTAAAGTTTTAGAAGTGCTGTAACAACTGAGAAAACCAGCCAGGGCAACAACTTTAAACAGTTAATGGACTCTACCACGGAGAATGAAATTATTACGTCTCTTTGGATCACTCTTTTCATGTCTACATTTTAAGATAGTGTATCACATATAGCAATTTTAACAAAGTTGTATAAAAACAGTGATCCAATTGTATCAAACAAATGAAAATGACAGATAAAGCACTGGAAGGAAACACATGTGATGTTAACAATGATTTTTGCTGGGTGGACCACTTCTTATTCTTTCTTGAAAATTTTTAATATCTTCCAACTTGTTTATAAGGTGAAATTTTAAATCTTTCAACATTTTAAAATACTCAGAGTGCATCTTTTTCTTTTTTCTTTTTTTGTAATCCTCACCCGAGGGTGTTTTTTTCCATTGTTTTTAAAATAAGTTTGTATTGATTTCAGAGAGGAAGGGAGAAAGACAAAGATAGAAACATCAATGCTGAGAGAGAATCATTGATTGGTTGCCTCCTGCATGCCTCACACTGGGGATTGAACCCACAATCTGAGTATGTTCCCTGACCAGGAATCAAACCATGACCTGCTGGTTCATAGGTTGAAATCAATCACTGAGCCATAACAAATGGGCTCCACTGGTTTTTAGAGAGAGTGGAAGGGAGGGAGAGAGGGAAAGCAAGACAAACATCAATGTGAGAGACTCACATCGATTGACTACCTCCTGCACATGCCAACCTAGGGATGGAACCAGCAACCAAGGTATGTGCCCGTGACTGGATTGAACTTATGACACTTCAATCTGGGGACCAATACACTATTCATCTGGGGGCTGAAGCTCTAACCACTTAGCAACACCAGCTAAAGCTCATTGTTTTAAGAGATGATGTAAATCTTTAAAAAGATACTTCAAAATTGAGCCATTGTCACCAAATACGCTCTGCATATTCTTCATGCACCACCAGAAGGCGCAGAAGAGCAATTTTGCTTATTAATTCAGCCTTTGGTCCTCACATGGAGCCGCATGTTCTCTGTGCACCACAAGAGTGCATCAAAGAGGCAGCTTTGATCAGGAATTCAGCATTTGGTCTCCAAGCTATACTGAGCAATTCAGTCTCAGGAATCCATAGACTCTTATTTATGCTCACATCATTGCCTAGGTCTCTATCTTTCCATCCGTTGGAACATTTACATATATGTATGTATATATATATGTGTGTGTGTGTGTGTGTATAGATAGATAGATAGATAGATAGATAGATATAGATATATATATAATGTCTAGGCAGAAATAGTGTACTACACATTGGTGTTGTAAACCAGCTGTGTCAGTAGCAAAGCAAGGTAGTGTTTTGTGAGGACATTGAAGACACCTCTGCCATGTGACACCTTTGAACATGCCAGGCCTCCCTTTCACTGTGGAGAAACTCTGCAGGAAGCTTCTGGGCTTGTGCTTCTGGAGCGGCATGGCCGCAGACAGACCCAGGGCACCATCACCACGCTGCCCAGGCCTGCACATTTCTACATTTGGAGCTGATCCCAATGGGGCAGGAATGTGCCCCTTAATCTCTGCATTCTTAATCTCTGTATTGACAACAGCCTCTTCTATTTGAGGACCTCCTACCTGAGGAGCAGAGCTCCACCCCACTCTAGGAGCAAAGACACTAGCTGCTCACCTTCCCAGCTTCCCTTGCAGCTGGAAGAAGGCACAGGACTCTGCAGAGCCAATTAGATGTAAGCTAGAAGCTAGTGCCCACGAGCAAGTGGCGGTGACTACTCAGGGCCACTCCAGACACTGAGCAGTCCCCATCCACTTCCCCGTGGAAGCCGTCCCTGTTTCAGTATCATGGCTGAAGCCAAGTCCCACCGCACAGGCTCCCCCAGCCCCAGCCTCCACCCCGGGCGCTGCCCTGAGCTCTGCCTGCCGCCCTGTGCTCACTACAAACTTCGCACCCCGCAGGAATGGGCTTGGTCAACGGGCCGGGGCTAAAGAGGAAAAGAGAGCGGGCTGCACCCCAGACAGCTCCGGGCCCAGAGACAGGGAGGCCCAGCCCGCGTTGCTCCCACACAGGGTCGAGTTGCACGTAGAGTGACACGGTGACCGCTTCGTGACTCAGTGTCCCGGGTACACTGCCTCCCAGACACAGGGCGGGCACCCACTAACCAGCAGGGGATGCCACGTCTTCCAGGGCTAAAGCACATGGATGGCACCATCGGGGCAGCTGGCAGTGAGCTCCGCAGAGGATCCAGCGTCCCCGCACCCCAACTTCTGCAAACTACCCCCGTTCACCGCTGGACCCACGCTCCCGCAAACCCCCAGGACAAGAGGACACCCCTCTCGTTGATGTGGATAGCCCTTGGAAATGCCGCCGTGGAAAGGAACACCCCCAAACACCCCCGAGAACAGCACCCTCAAAGCCCCGGTCCTCTCCACGGCGCGGCCAGCAGCGGCCCGGGGGAGGCACTTGAGTCCCCTCCTGTGGGGAGAAGGCGCGTGTCTACTCATCGAGGTGTCGTGGGCCCCAGTGGGCCAACCGGAGGAAGAAAGCACAGCCACCACGTCCTCTCACATCAAAATAGAGCCATTTATTCAAGACCCTGAACGGGGCCTGTTGATTCTATCAAAGCAAATGGGCTACTAAGTGCAAGGTGGTTCTTGTCCCAGGATTGAGGGTGTGCAGGCGGGTGACACACGTGGACGTGGGCAGGCGGGTTGACAGGCGCTGACGGGAACCACGTGCGGCTGGTGCATCCGACAGACGATACACACCCAGGAGCCAGAGCTCAAAACCCCGGGGAGGGACGGAGGAACGCCTCTGCGTTTGACAAGAAACACGGTTTGGAAAAAAAAAGGTGGAACAGGTTTAAAAAGAGGAACATAACCAGAGCGAAGCAGGCCTTCCGTGGGACAAAGTGCGCCTCGCCCGCCCCTGGCAGATCTCAGGGCAGAAGGAAACCCGGCCCAGGCGTGCGGCCACGGCCCTGCCACCTTCCCGGTGCGGGGCCAGCCCCTGGTCCCTGCTCACATCAAGGCCACGCTTGGTCACCAACACGTGGGCGTTACTTTAAGAGCTGTGACAGGGCAGTCACGGGGCACGGCCCTGGGCACTGCCGCTCGGCAGACTCCCAGGTTTCTGTTGGGGGGTGGGGTGTCCGATGGTGTCTGCAGCTCTGCACACGGCGCCCCAAACCTAATAGTTTCTCAGGGCAGACGTGGTCAACGTGGCCCGGGTGCCGCCTGCCTTCACAGATGAGAGGGGCGACTTCCTAGACGTTGCGCTTGGTGCAGTGCCAAGCAACCACCCAAATTACACATCAACTCGGAAACGGCACTTTGGGGGCGTCTCTGGCTCAGACTCAGGGAAGTCACGGATCCACGGAGCCTGGTGATGTTGTCACAGGTCCGGCACAGTCCAGGTCTCTCCTGTCGCGCTCACCTGCCTGCCTGGCACCGGCCTGAACAGCATCTTGTCTGGCAGCCGGGACGCAGCGGCTGCACCTGCCAGGCCGCCTTCCTGTCCCTGCTCTGCCAGGGTAACTGATGGCCCTTCTCCCACGGCTCCTTTCAAAGCCAGGTCAGCATCGGGCTGACACACAAAGGCCACCTCATCCAATGAAAGGAAACTCCCATAGAAACGCAAACACCTGTTTAATTTTTAAAAAACAGTAAGAAGGTTCATTATTAAAAAAAGAAAATCTAGTCTATTGGCAGAGAAAAAAGAGATAGAGACGGTGGAGGTGATGGGTGACACTCTGCCCTCAGTTCACCATATGGCTGTAAGCGCCTTCCTTCCCATTCACGTCTGTCCCTGCCCGCCAGGGGTCAGCCATGCCAGGCCCGCCCAGCAGCTCTGGACAAAGGCTGACCATGAACGAGGTGCCACTAACAGGCCACACAGCCGAGCCGCCTGCTTCTACGGCTCCCGCAATGCCGGTTGGTTTGGGACAGGATCCTCGCGGTCACAGTCACCCTTCTTCAGTTCCCTCCCAGGGTTACAGAGGGGACTTCCAGGGAGATCCCACTTTGTCCCCCAGCCAAGAGCGGGAGTTCTCACTCCGCGGAGGAAATCCCACTGCGTCCACGGGTCTGCCCCCGCTCCCTATTCCCCCCCCCCCCACCTGCCACACAGCCCCAGGCAAGGGGAATGCTCCCTAGAACCTTTTAAAATAGGAAACCACACAAAGCTCTGCCTGATGGCTTTTTAGGATTTTAAAATTGTTTTAACATAAAAATATTTCCCCCCCAAAAAAATACTCCGGGCTCTTTTTAAGTCATTTTCCCTCCTGTAAAAAGTCCCCCTGCCGTGCCTTCCTACCTAAAGCACTTACTGTGCCCTCAAGACCTTCGATCTGAAGCAAATAAGATAAAGGGGTGCAGGGGAGGGCGGAGGAAGAGGAGGAGAGGGGAGGGGCGAGAAAGCTGTCTGGCAAAGATTTTGTCATCGTGTGCCCAAGGCCGCATCGACAGCAAATCAAGACACACTGGAAGGAGGAAAAAGGAGGAGGGGCAGCAACGAGGAAGGGGAACAAGCTCCATCGGGGAATCGTGGACGGAAGGATTCCGACCGACAGAAAAGCCCCTGAACAAGGAGGTGTGGGAAACGGGGCGTGCTGGGATCACAAAGCCCGCATTGCAGGGGCGCGGGCTGGGCTCTGAACGTCTTGGGGGGCGACGTGGTCTCCAACACACAGGGAGTGCTCTTCCGCCCTCTCAGGTTATCGCAGCCTTTTCCCTATTCTCCTCCTTTGCTTTTCCCCCTCCAGCTCAGCCATCAGAGCCTGTCTGGGTGGGAACCAAACGCGGACCATCCCCCTGGAGGCGTCACGCTCTCCAAACAGATGTCCCGAGTGGAAACCACTCTCCCACCTCTGAGGCGACCGTGTGTGTTTGAAACTATCTGACGAGAACTAGGAAAGATACAGGCGCCCACAGCCCAGGAGGCGCTGACTTCAAAGTCCACGCCCACTCTGCGCAGTTTTGGAGCCGACAGGATGCCCCCTCCCCTCTCCCACCCTCCCCACGCTAAATGCTGGTGGGTTAGAATTCTCTTCTCTTTCCTGCAACATTCCATCTACTTTCGCAGATCTAAAACACACACCTGCAAGGAAACAAAGAGCCCCGGTTACTACCTTCAGATAACACACAGAGCCCAGGTTGACAAATTACATGGCCCATGAACCAAATCTGGCCCACCCTCTATGTTTTATAAAGTTTTATTGGCACACAGTCCTGAGCATTCAGAGAAGCTGTAACAACAGGCTACACCTGAGGGCTGAGCCTCTGACCAGCCCTGAAATAACGCAGAGGCAGCGGTCATGGGCAGGTGGCACAGCCCAGAGACCTAGAGGCAGGGTCGATGACAACTCTAGCCTGTGCTCACAGCTCTGGGGAACATGTGGGGAATGCAGGACACTCAGCCAGCCCTCCCACCACCCCCTGCCTCACAGAATCACAGGCCCGGGGCCCAGGACATCTGTGGAATGCAGGTTACCCATCAGCAGAGGGTGCAGGCTGGGGGAGCCAGGTTCTGAGCCCCTACCCTGGGTATCAGCGGCCTGGGGTTTCCCCTTTCAGCCCCGCACCCACAACCCCCCAGCAAAAGGTGGTGTTCTTACAGAGCCATCGGACATGCTGGCGCCCACTTTGTCCCCTCGGGCGTTCCAGCAGACCTCGAAGATGCTGCCAGTGCCTCCGTAGCTGTGGACGAGCCTCCCACTCTGCAAAGCAAAGCAGAGCAGTGGTCAGGAGTAAGGGGGAGGGAACGGGGGGGGCGGGGGGAGGAAGCAAGGCCACTATCTACACTAACAAAAGGGTAATATGCTAATTAGACTGAGAGACCTTCCTGACATCCTTCCAGGCAAAGCCATGGTGGCGGGGCTAACGCAGAGGCGGTTAGGGGTGATCAGGCCAGGAGGGCAGGGAAGTTGGGGGTGAGCAAGCCAATGAAGCGGGGGGGGGATTTGGGGGTGAGCAGACCAGTAGGGGGGCAGAGTTGGGGGCAAGCAGGCTGGTGGAGGGGTAGTTGGGGACAAGCAGGCTGGCAGTGGGGGGTGGGGGGGCCAGTTGGGGGCAATCAGGCTGGTGGGAAGAGTGGTTAGGGGCAATCAGGCAGGCAAGCAGGTGAGCAGTTAGGAGCCAGCAGTCCTGGATTGCAAAAGGGATTCCAGATTGGAGGGTGCAAGCCAGGCTGAGGGATAAACTCCCCCCCCAGTGCATGAATTTCGTGCACTGGGACACTAGTTTATATTTATAATTTATATATATAAAAGCCTAAGCGACCCGCCCACCCGACCACCAAGAGGCAGACGCTCAACACAGGAACTACCAAGTGAGTGCCCTCTCACACTTTGCAGAGTGCCCTCTCCCATTCCAGGATCCCTTAGGGGATGTCGGACTGCTGGTTTCAGTCCAATCCCCGCAGGCCAGGCTGAGAGACCCCACCCGTGCACGATCCATGCACCGGTCCTCTAGTATTATATACATCCTTGTATTTAGAGAGGGCTTCCTCTCACTGAGGATCAAAGAGGTTTGTGATTTATAAAAATGGAGTGACATAATTTGATGAGTGTTTGACTGTGGGCAATACCTAACGTCATTTTTCTATGATGTCACTTTACAAATCCACCTGTCCCTGCTTTTCTGAAGAGGAACTCTCGCACAGTATTCCTGTGCTGTGGCTTTCCATCTGGCCTGTCTGGCTGTGAGGCATGGTGGCAGGCTGGTTCTGCCTAGGGCCCATCCTCACCTCTCCCTCTCTAAGGAGGTAGCCCATCTGAAGCAGATTCAGGGAAGGCTTAGATCTCTGTGAACCGGATGGCAATTCACTTGCTTCATGTACTACCAGCCCTTCCCACAAGGGGGCATGAACTCAATTACAATGCACCTCAATTTCAACCCAGCCGCAGGGAAGCCGGAAGGCAGATTGGATTAAAAGGTTAAAAGGAGAGCCGAGACCGGTTTAGCTCAATGGATAGAGCGTCGGCTTGGGGACTGACGGACCTGGGTTCGATTCCGGTATAGGGCATGTACCTTGGTTGCGGGCATATCCCCAGTAGGGGGTGTGCAAGAGGCAACTGATCGATGACTCTCTCTCATCGATGATTCTAACTCTCTATCTCTCTCCCTTTCTCTCTGTACAAAATCAATAAAATATATTTTTTAAAAAATGGTTAAAAGGGGAGAGGGGAGGCCATTTAATCCACCTTGAGGCCACACAAACTGAATCCCTAGCTGTTTGCAATGGCTCTGATCATTTCTCTTCTATCAGCGAGAGAGAACCGAGAGGTGGCTGCCCAACATAATTCTCCCTACCCTCCACCCACTTCCACCCTTTATATTCAGAATCCATCACCCTCAGGTACAGCCAGGGTTACCCACGGCTACATTTACTCAAAAGCTGTCTCCTTATAGTTCTAACAGCACAACCCAATACCAACATACCCTTTCCTACAGAAACTTTTTTCGTTTTTAATATATTTTATTGATTTTTTTTACAGAGAGAAAGAGAGAGGGATAGAGAGTTAGAAACATCAATGAGAGAGAATCATTGATCAGCTGCCTCTTGTGCACCCTCCACTGGGGATGTGCCCGCAACCAAGGTACATGCCCTTGACTGGAATCGAACCCGGGACCTTTTCAGTCTGCAGGCTGACGCTCGATCCACTGAGCCAAACCGGTTTTAGCAACAGAAACTTCTTTTTTCATCAGAAAAAATCAAAATGGCACAACAAAGCAAACAGATAATCCTGTGCACCCTCCGATATGCTACGCGATGTGGAATGGCCGGCCCCGCCCCTTTAGCTGGGCCCCTGGAAAGTGCGAATGAAATGACACTGTCACCCCAACCTTAGTACCTAGAGGGCAGCATCTCTGGAGACAAGAGGACTGGGTTACGGCTGTCTGAAATGAGGCCGGGACCCCAGGAAAGGATCAGCCGGATAGAGGGTTTCATGCCAGGGACTTAGAAGCCATCAGCACAAACTCCCCAGCGACGGCTTTGAGCCTGGGTGACTGAAACCTGACGTGGGAGTCACTGTGAGGAAGGAGTCGGGGATTACCTGAGTGTTCCAGATGTGCACACACTTGTCGAAGGAGCCGCTGGCCAGGTACTTGCCGTCGGGGCTGAAGGCGACGCTGTTGATAGGTTCCTGGTGTCTGGTGAGCGTGTGGAAGCACACGCCGCGCTCCACGTCCCACAGCCGGACGGTGGAATCGAACGAAGCACTAGGAGGAAGGGAGGAAACATCACCATAGACACAGGAGCTTCCTTCTGTTTCTCTAAGACACACATCCATCGTGTGTGACTCTCCTCTCATGGCTTTTACATTTCCAGAGACAGTAACAGCTATGCTCCATCACGCTAAAGTATGGCTCAGATACCTCGACGACACCACCATTGTTATACAACAATTCCTTTCTTCTCTTTTTGGATGCTGTTATGGGGGAAACACTGATTTCACGTTCATTTGTTTCTGCATTTCCTATAAACACAGACGATAAATATGTCTATGGAATATTTACTACATTTCCTTAAATGTAGTAAATCTAAAACACCACATTTAGCTCAGCTGGTGTGCCTCAGTGGTTGAACATCGATTCCTGGTCAGGGCACATGCCTGGGTTATGGGCTCATGCCCAGTGATTGGCATACAAAAAGCAGCCAATCAATGGTTCTCTCTCATCAATGATGTTTCTTTGCCTCCCTCTACCTTCCTCTCTGAAGTCAATTTTAAAAAATGAAAAAACAAAAACACAACACATTTATTGCTACCAACCAAAATATTTGGAAAAATGGCAAATTAAGTTAACACAGTTTTAATGCAATGGGAGTTAAAATACAATCACATTACCAAAACTGGTTTGGCTCAGTGGATAGAGCATCGGCCTGTGGACTGAAAGGTCCCGGGTTTGATTCCAGTCAAGGGCATGTACCTTGGTTGCGGGCCCTTCCCCAGCGGGGGGTGTGCAAGAGGCAGCTGATCGATGACTCTCTCTCACCGATGTTTCTAACTCTCTATCCCTCTCTCTTCCTCTCTGTAAAAAAATCAATAAAATAAAATAAAATAAAATAAAATAAAATAAAATAAATACAATCACGTGCAAATATGGAATTGTATTCCGAGAGCTGCAAGTTTTCTTTTCAGACATAAAATAAAGAACACATACTGAGCTGCTATTTGGTGTTCTCTCTCTCCGAACAGGGACTCACTGGGCACTGCTCTGTCCCTTCACACTTGCTAACTGAAAGGACAATCAGCCTCTAGCTGATGCAGGAACTCCTTCCTTCCGGTGTTTTCTAAGAAACGGCCTTGGGCCGAGCACTTTCAGCAACAAGGATCCTTGCTGCTGTGAGGCTGACCAGCCTGTGCCATGCAGCAGAGATGGAGAGTTTCTCCGTATCCACAGGACTGTCCACCCGCCCCCTGTCCCCGACCACCCCTTCTCTGCAGCTGCAGAAGCCTGCTCTGCTTCCAGGGACCCGGACGTTCCTCCCAAATGCTGTCTTCTCCAGCTGAACACCCCCTCACCGTGTGCACCATGGATCCCAGACCCCGAAGGATGCAGGCTTATCAGAATCTCTCAGCTTCTTAGTCTGGACATTCTTATTAAACCCAGGACCTGCATGAAGTCCCGCAAGCACTGGCAGAGACAGTTCCATGCAGTGCAGCCTGAAGTGGCGTGATTCTGGGCTGCCCACCACAGCCACGTCCCCTCTCCCCAATTCTGCGAAGAAGCTGCTGCTTGGGGGGAGGAGGAGTTCACTCTATGTCTGGCTGGGTCAGCCCTGGCAGTAAAGACTACCCACTCACAACTCACGCCACCCGCAGCTCCAAGTCGGACTAAGTAAACCAAGGCCACGGCGCACTCTGCGTCCTCTGTCTGTTATAACGAAAACCCGCACAAAGCCACATGCTGGAAGCCCGGACACATAACCCACCCCACCAGCCCGGGAGTGACAGGGACCCGCACCGTCACGCTGCATAGCGCCGTTCTGTGGGCCCCGTGCAGGCGAGCTACTCCTTGCACAGTTTGGAAGGACGTGAACTCATTCACAGCACACTTTAGCAAACAGCGTTTACTGGCCACACTCCAATTCCCTCCGGGTTCAAGTAACATCTACCGGCCAAGTTACTGGCCACAACTTTTACAAAATCACTTTCCCGTCCCCTCCGATAAAATAACTGTCACAGCCACAGGGAGCAAGGCTGCTTCTGGGAGCCGCGGGGGTCCGGGCTGCGGGCCGTCCTCCTCTTACCTTGCGAGCATGATGTTGGCGTTCGGGTTGCTGGTGGCTGGCCCGGTCGGACTCCACTTTATGGTGTACACCTCTTTGCTGTGAGCCTGCAGGTCATGGACACACGTGTCCTGCTTCATGCTCCAGATCTAAAGGACACAATGGGCAGCATGCGAGCAGGCGCTCTTTCTCCAGCCAGGAGCGGCTCAGCACCTGTGGGCGTTCCTCAGGTTTGGGGCTGGGGAAGCTCACTGATTGGCGGGTCACTGCCCAGACAGAGGGGTGGGTAAAACCCTGGGGGCACCAGGAGCAATGGGGAAAACTTACAGCAGCAGGAAGAGTGTTCGTTACAAAATCACCACCCAGAGCAGCCGTGACCATGAGGCCCGCACGAAGGGGTGCGGCTGCCTGGGATCACACAGCCCATCCTTCCGGGTTACCTTTAACGTACTGTCATCCGAGCAGGACGCTAGCAACGTTCTAGAGGGATTCCACTTGATGGCGTTAACCTCATTCTGAAAGAGAGCAAAGGATTTTACAAAGAAATAAAGGCCTGTGAGTAGGTACCACAATCACCCAGCAGGGGAGCACTCCAGCATCTCTGCGGACTCTTCAGCTACCCTGGGCATGGATCCCTCTGTTTCCTACTCTGCCTTTCACTTATGTAAAAAGCAAGGCCACATACCATGCAAAGCCATCACCCACATCCACAACTCTAAGAAAGAATTCACAACTGCATTTACATCCAGTAAACACAGCACAGAAAACCAATACAACCTGTTGTTTTGAGACTGATATTGCAAATCACTTCCACCCTGGCCAGTGTGGTCCAGTGGTTATAGCACCAGTTTGTGCACGAAAGGGTGGTGGGATTGATTCCCAGTCAAGGGTTCATACCTGGATGATTCCCTGTCCTGGCTGAGGTGCATGCAGGAGGCAACCAATGGATGTGTCCCTCTCACATCAATGTTTCTCTCTGTTCTGCTCCCTCCCTCTCTTCACTCTCTCTAAAAACCAATGCTGACATTTTCCACCAAATTCAAGAAAACTGGCTATTTCTATGACTTCTCTTCAGGTTCATTAGCCTTATTTCTGCAACCTCAATGGGCTGTTAAACCCACCCATTAAATTTTCATTTCAGACACTGTACCTCTCAGCTGTTAGGTTTCCGTTTGACTGTTTTTAAAAAAGTTTTTCTTCTCTGCCGACATTCCTCATCTATTCACTCATGATGAACATCCTTTCCTTTATGTCCTCACACATTTGTCTAATAGCTATTTTAAGTACTTCATTCAAAATCCCACATCTAGCTCATCTCAGGGTCTGTGTTTTTCCCACTGCTGCTTATACCTGGGTTAATCCAACCACCAAGCAGCAAAGGGCTGCAAAAGACCTGGTCAGCAGGCACAGCATCTTTTTTATTAACCCCCCCCCCCCCCCCCGCAAATCCCCAAGAACACAGTGAGGTGAGTGCCATAATGGAATCATAGATCTAAGTAGGAGAGAGAAGGAGGAAAAATAAATTCAAGAAGCAGGTGAGAAATCTGCTTAAAGGGATGTCAGTAGTGTCTTGATAGGATATAGGAAATAATGATGCAAAAATATCCCTGTCCTTTAAGAATTCAAGGGGTCAGTAGGCCTCACAGCACCTTTTAACCGGCGGCACAAAGGAAACGTCCCTCCCAGCACACTGCCACGGACCCGAGCCCGTCGTCAGACCCGGCACTTACCACGTGTCCTTGGAAGGTCCTCACGGGGAGGTCGCAGCCGAGTCTGCAGACGTGAATGTTCCTGTCTGTGCTACAGGAGGCAAAGGTCGTGCTATTCTGCCAGTCCACATCGAGAATGGGGGCTGTGGGCGGGAACAGAGGGAGGACGTGTGGATCCTATGTACTAACGGTAAATATCACGTGACATGCATTCTAACACACACGTAGGTAGGGCTCCCGAGCCATCTGCCTTTGGAGAGGTGCCCACTTACGGGTGGGGAGACACGTTCTGTAATACATTCGGCATCGTCCACGCCATCAGTGGTGTGAGATGAAAGCAACACCAACCATAAAACTCACCAGCGGCCATAGGAGATGTATGTGGTGTGGACTGAAAATTATGAGGACAGGCACTCAAAACATGCCAGGTCTCCTCACTCTGTGAATGCCTCCACGCTGCTGGCGTTGCGGACAGAGTATCAGATGTGAGTCTGTGCTCTGACACAGAGGTGACACGCCCTTGCTGGGACCTTCCCTCCTAGTCCACCCCTCCAGGACCCACGCCCCCTGCTTGGAGCCTGTGCCATATGCCGAGATGCGTCGTGCCGTCTGGCCAGTTCCTGGACTCAGCTCTCCCACTCAGCCATCAATGGGCACCCCAAACTGCCCATCAGAAAAGACACTCTGCCCGCTTGTCAACATCAACTCAGGGACATCCTATCTAATAAAAATGTAATATGCAAATTGACCGGCACTCCAAGACACAAGATGGCTGCCCTCATGGGGACACAAGATGGCCACCACAAATGGCCTGCAGGGGAGGGCAGTTGTGGGCAATCAGGCAAGCAGGGAGGGTAGTTAGGGGTGACCAGTCCAGCATAAGAGGGCAGTTGGGGGGACCCAGGCCTATAGGGGAGGGCAGTTGGAGGGAACCAGGTCTGCAGACAAGGACAGTTGGGGAGGATCAGGCCTGCAGGGGAGGACAACTAGGGGCAACCAAACTGGCAGGGGAGGGCAGTTAGGGGTGACCAGGCCAGCAGGGGAGGGCAGTTAGGGGCAATTGGGCCAGCCGGGGAGCAGTTAAGCATCGATCAGGCTGGCAGGAGAGTGGTTAGGGGGTGATCAAGCTGGCAGGCAGAAGTGGTTAGGGGCAATCAGGCAGAGGTAGGCAAGCGGTTGGGAGCCAGCAGTCCTGGATTGTGACAGTGATGTCCAACCACAGGCAGCAGACATCCCTCAAGGAGTCCCAGATTGGAGAGGGTGCAGGTTGGGCTGAGGGACACCCCCCCCCCCCATCCCTCACCCCCCCAGTGCATGAATTTCATGCATCAGGTCTTTAGTGTGACGTAACAGTACACGCTCAGCCCACACATTCAGTGTTCCCTCTATAAGGAAGACCTTGCTCATGACAGGAAGTGGCATCTGTCATTCACGCTGGTGTCCTCTAACAGTCTGCTCCTGCTGGAGGTGCGCAGCTATCTTTGTTTCAAGTTAAGAGGCTGCCCCTCACAGAAGAATTGAGTCCCACAGAGCAAGAGGAAAGATCAGGTGAAAAACTGGAGTCTCTGGACCCCGGGCTGCCCCACGTGGCCTGCTGTGGCCACAGCACACAAACAGATATGGCTAGGGCCACAGCTGTGGCTGCATGTCTCTATGGGAAAGACTCCTCACCTCAGGGCTGACCCTACTCTCTTGGCCCATATCTGAGGACATGGATTTCTGGAAGGTTCCCTCTATTCCGTAAATTGATAAGAGCAGCTTCTGCACCTCAACTGCAAACAACATCGTTTACGCCAGCTTCCTTCCAGGAGTCTACAATAAGAGTGCGAGCAGGCAGACAGTGCCTGCAGGACCAGCCCCAGCAAACATCTTGCACACCCAGTCTGCAGGGAGCTTCCCTAGAGGAGGCCCTGCCGTGCGGCTGGTCACAACTCCATTCTGGGGGGCGGCCCCCTATCCCCCGAGTCCACAGAAGACCACTGCAAGTGCTGGATTTCACCCTCTGCTCCTTTTCCCTCATGGCCAATTTTGCAGTGTCCTTTCACTGTGATAAACCTGAGCCGTGACTTGCCAGATCTGGGGATCTCAGGGACCCCCAACACAGGCCCCCTGGGCTGGCAGGAGAAAGGAGGCCACTTTGGTCCAGGTATTGGTCCTTGTAATGTTTTTAACATTTTGATGTTGGAGAATCTGTACCTTATAAGCCTAAAAGCAATGTTCACCATGATTGTAGCTAAATTCCATGGACACATTCCTCAGAGTATTCAAGATTACCTTCTGGGACATTTTGCAGTGACTATGTACTATTATTACCAAACTAGTGATATGGTGCATAAATTTGTGCACATGGAAAGGAAATTAATTAGAAGAAATATTTTAATATCACTATTTGTCCTCTCTCTATAATAGAAATGTCAACCAAATTCACCATCAATAATGGTAGATGGAAACACATGCATGCAATTTGTGCCAGCGACAGCATTATTTGTATCGCACATGCACAAGTCGACTTGGCCTTTTATAGATATAGAACAAACTTGCTTAATTAGACCTGTTTTCTGATTTGAGCTAAACTTTTTCCAGCCCAGTGAAGCACCACAACTTCTCTTTCAGGTAAAAAAAACAACACAGCAGTAAATATCAACACAAAGCACATTATGATTGTAGATAACGCAGGGAGAACAATGGGTAAAATATTTAACTGCAGCAGTGTTTGACTATAATATATTCTGTGCAGTGAGAAAACCTGAAGTCACTTTTAAAAAAAAAATATATTTTATTGATTTTGTACAGAGAGGAAGGAAGAGAGATAGAGAGTTAGAAACATCGATGAGAGTGAGTCATCGATCAGCTGCCTCTTGCACACCCCCTACTGGGGATATGCCCGCAACCAAGGTACATGCCCTTGACCGGAATCGAACCCAGGACCTTTCAGTCCCCAAGCCGACGCTCTATCCATTGAGCCAAACCGGTTTCGGCCTGAAGTCACTTTTAAGGACCACCATTTCTTACTTCTTTTCAGTCAGGTCAAGTTTCTAAGTTTTCCAAATATCTCTTTTCCGGCTCATGAAAAGAAAATAGGATTCCACCAAGTCTCCTATCTATCTACTCCACGACTCCTGTGAGGATCAAATGAGATGAGGCACAGGAAAACACTTCACTGACATTTGGGTACAGAGTAAAGTGTTTCCACCTGGTTATAAAGCAAGGCATGTTCCTGGGCTGAAACTGCAAGGAGGCTAGTCATCACTAGGGAGAGGAAGCCAGGGAGACAGTGTTGCTACGTGATGTCATTACCAGGATGGAAGGAAGGACACTTAGCATATTAGATTACAAAACAAAAACAGAAGACTCACCAGAATGAAATAGAAACTGCTGTTTGGCTTCTCCCGTGTGGGCATCCCAAATTATTGCTGTCTGTGCTCCGCAAACAAAAAGGAAACGTTAGTGACTGTTCCTCCGGCCATGTTTTCTCTCAGAAAAATTTATCACACAAGACAAGTGAGCCCCGCCTCCTTTCACATCAGCACAGCCCAATAAGCACAGGATGTGAGCCACACGGGGAACTTTGTTTTCTAGAAAGCACTCTAAAAAGAGAAAAAAAGAAACTGTTAAAACTACCTTTTCTTTTTTGGCACTGTGACTTGAATATGAACTAAGGTCGCTGCGGCCATAAAACTTCTTTTTAACAACACGTTTTATTTCACTCCGGTATGGTTAAAATATTGTTTTAACGTGTGTTCAGTACGTATCTGTTAATGAGGTCCCTGACGGTCTTTTTGCTGAGGTCTGTGGAATCCAGTGTTTTATAAGTAACCATCTTGAGAGTCATGTGTGTTGTTGGCAACTTCACAAAACACAGCAGCCATAACTGATAATTGGAAAACTACAAAAATTGGTGGGGATTCCCTTTCTCCCATTACAAGTTGAAATACAAAGCTTATCTAAGACTCTCTCTGGCACTTTCCCAAATGAGGAGCTAAAGAACAAATGGGCATTTCTGAAAATTATCCTGTGCATCAGTCACACTCTGAATTGGGGATAGCAGGCAGAGCAGAGCCACGCTGGCCTGTAACTAAGGGGAGAAAGACCATTTCCCTGGAAAACAAAAGGAGTTCTTAGGAACCCACCGATGCTAGGAAGACAGGGAAGCACCGGAGGCGGCTCAGGGAAACCTCTGGAATGACATCTTAATTGACTTAATTGGAACCTGTGTACTTCCCAGTCACTGACAATGAAGCTCTTGTTTAAAGGAGAATTGATTATAAGGGGCGTTGACAGTAGAAATGTCCAGGGGAAATACTCGGAGCAGTGAGCACCTGTGAAACCCAATTCTCCACATTCTGGGTCAGCTCTAGATCAACGGGCATCTCCTATTCGTCTTTTTGGTGGGCCTAACACTTTTACTCACAAACGAATCAGGTGCTACACAGAGTATTTAAACTTGCAAATCTGATGCAATTTTGCATACTACATCAGTAATTTTGTTGATGTCTACATTAAATATACCTTGGACAGGAAAAAAAAAAAATTCTAAAACAGCAAGAACTGTTAAAGATACTTTAGCCCCTTCGGTTAAGTTTCCACTGAAGGTCAACACCAGCATCCCCATAAATAACACTTCCTCCTTGGGTGTTACTTTCTGAATATTATGATCTCTGCCATGGCTGGCCAATAAAGGCAAACTGTGCATGGCCCAAAGACTAACAATTTCAAATGTGCGCTTTCACTGACCAACGGCTCATCTCCTGGTAGTGAACACTGACCATCAGGTAGAAAATCAGAAATGAATATTTAAAAAAGTAGCCCTGAGTCAGTAAGGAGGAGGATGCAAAGTGCTGGCTAGGATTCCACGAAAGCAGTAACTGCTGGCTGGACCCAGGGCTTGCCTCCCAACCCACGTCCATTCCACACCAGTGGGTCCGAGACGAGTCCCAAGGCCCGCTGTGGCCTGGGGTCCATGCTCTGCGTGCCCATCTCCCATCCTGGAGCACCAAACAGGCCAACACTGGGGGAAAGTGCTTGTAAGGTTACTGGCCACTCCCCACACGACCAGCCACGTACAAGACACAGTGGTATGTGGGTAACATCTGAATTAGGGCCCCTCAGCAAAAATTCGAGGCAATTTCTGGAGAGCCTCTATGTGGTGTGCCAACCCCAGCATCTCAGCTTTTTTAGTAGATATGAGGATGCCAAGTTGGAACGAAGGGCTTAATAGGCTTGAGAAAGAGACAGAAAGAAAGAAAGAGAATGCACAATTCAGTGACCGAGAAGGTTAGATTCAAGTGTGGAGTGATTTTTGCCAAGGGCCAGATGGTCAATATTTTGGGCTTTGTATCTGTCGCTGAACTGTGCACCTCAACTGAATGGGGGTGTTTTGCACAAAGGTCTGTGGAGCGTGTGACATGTTAAGACATGACAGGCCCCCCGGCTGGTGTGGCTCATTTGCTGAGCATCAACCTTGAACCAGGAGGTTATGGTTTGATTCCCAGTCAGGGCACATGCTTGGGTTGCAGGCTCAGTCCCCAGTAGGGGGTGTGCAGGAGGCAGCCGATCAATGATTCTCTTTCTTTATTGATTTTCTCTCTGTCCCTCTCCTTCCTCTCTAAATCTATAAAAACATATTTAAAAAATTTTTTTTTAAATAAAAGAGATGATAGGCTATAAATGAACATCAAGGTCATAGCCAGGAAAACCAACAAGCACCACACAAGCTGCCTTCATTTCTTAAGGGAAAGCAGAAAGCCTAAGGATTCACAGGAACCTCGATACTACCTAGCGATTCAACCCCAATAAGCATCTCCAGTTCAAAAATGTGTTATAAGTGAGTACTCACCTTGTCCACACCAGCACTCACAATGTAATTCCCCTTTTTGTTCCATTTCAAGGCAAAGATGGGGCCTCTGCGTTGGCCTAAGGTTCTGGCCAGATTACCTGTGGGTAAGTAAACAAGCAGCAAACATGCTGACTTCAAGGCCACAGCCCGTTCACGCCCTGACTCCACACCAAAGGAGCTCTTCTCCGACCCGGACCCGAGGGCGGCAGGACTCACCATCTTCCATCCAGATTCTTGTAAAGCCATCGTAGGAGCCTGTTGCTAACAGCGTCCCGTCGCTCTGTGGGCCAGAGAGAAACAGGCCAACAGAAACAGCTTAGCAGGGATAGTTCTGACAAAGTGAAGAAAATCTTTTACCCCGGGGCTAGGGCATTCTGGCATCAATAATTGGTCTCCAGCCCAGCCAGTGTGGCTCAGTGGTTGAAAGCTGACCTATGAACCAGGAGGTCATGGCTCGATTCCCAGTCAGGGCCCATGGCCAGGTTGCAGACTCAATCCCCAGTAGGGGGCATGCAGGAAACAGCCGATCAATGACTCTTCTCTCTTATTTATGTTTCTATCTCTCCCTCTCCCTTCTTCTCTGAAGTCAATAAAAATATATATATTTTTAAAAAAAATCAATTTCCAGTTGAGTCTTACCAACCCCATTCAACTACTCATCTCACACACCTCTTAAAATCAGTGGTCGGCAAACTCAACAGAGCCAAATATCAACAGTACAATGATTGAAATTTCTTTTGAGAGCCAACATTTTTAAACTTAAACTTCTTCTAATGCCACGTCTTCAAAATAGACTTGCCTAGGCCGTGGTATTTTGTGAAAGAGCCACACTCAAGGGGCCAAAGAGTTGCATGTGGCTCATGAGCCGCAATTTGCCGACCACGGTCTAAAATGAACATGTAAGATGTTACAACCAAGGAGAGAAGGGGCAAGTAAAATCTGTTTCAACCGTTCACCCCAATGACACAATTAAAAGTACCACACAAAAGCCCTGGCTAGTGTTTCTCAGTGGTTAGAGCACTGGCCTGGGCACCGAAGGGTCTCGGGTTCGATTTTCGGTCAAGGACACGTACCTGGGTTGCAGGTTTGATCCCCAGCCCCAGTCAGGAGGCGTTCGGAAGGCAACCAATGAATGTGTCTCTCTCACATGGATGTTTTTCTCTCCCTCCTTCCCTTCCAATCTCTCTAAAAAATCGGTGGAAAAATAGCCTGAGGTAAGGATGAACAACAACAAATACCAGGCCAACAGTTCTGACACATTGGAGACTTTAGTGAGCCTTGAGCATCGTTCAGGAAAGAACAGTTTGTGACAACATGACAGAGTGAGCAGTAACACTTCAAAGAGCGAGAGCGAGAGAGAGAACGTCCAGGGAAGGTAGAAAGAGCTGTGTCCCACCTGTCAATTGAAATATCAAGGCAGAGCCCTGGCCAGTGGGGCTCAGTTGGTGGGAGCATTGTCTTCTACACCAAAAGGTTGTGGGTTCAATTCCCAGTCAGGGCACATGCCCAGTTGGCCCCATCAGCAACCAATCCATGTTTCTCACATCGATACTTCTCCCTCTCTCTCTCCCTTCCTCCCTCTATAAAATCAATAAACATCCTCAGGTGAGGATCAAAAATAACTTTTTAAAAGAAATACCAAGACAGACAGTCATGTTTCCTTGGCTGCTCGAAGACGTGGGCTAATGCTGAGAGCGAGTGGTCACTGAGGATGCAGCCAGCCGTCTGCCCAACCCTAGGCCCCACAAGGCAGCTCTGAAGTGCAAGCACCTGGGAGGCGGCCAAGCTTACTTTCCAGTCCAGCGAGGTCACGTCTCTGTTACTGGGCACGTCCTGCCCCTTTTCTCGGATACAATGCCGCAGGACAAGCTGGTTGGACGCCCCATTGCTGCTTCCATTCAGGTTCCAGATCCGCGCAGTCGAATCTTTGGAGCTGCAGAAGGAAAGGCGCTACAGTCAGCCTTCAGCGCGCTTGCTCACCAGGTTTCTCTTTTTTCCCACCTGCAACCGCTTCAGTGCCCACAACACAGGAGCAGAGGCAGGCGATGGTTCCAGGCCAGTCTGCTCTGACCTGGGCACCGGGAGGGACTTGGGGACAGGCCTGCCATAAATCCAAAGCCATGCATGGAAGCTGTTTTCTCTTTTTTCACAGGGTTCTCTCCACACCGTCTTTGCTGCACTCATTTTAAATGCCAGCATTAGTCCCCACCCGGGAGAAAATGGCGCAAGGACTTCTCTACAATTTGACCACAATTGGAGGTAAAGCAGGGAGGGCAGCACGGGTGCCCCAGGCCTCGTTCTGCACACCTGGGCAGGTGCCCCAGGCAGGTGAGAGGGAGCCAGCAGCTCGGACCCCTGGCCTTGGAGCACCCCCAGGCTGACACCCTTACCCGGAGGCCAGGAGGTCGCTGACGGGGCTCCAGGAACAGATGAAGACCTCGGACTCATGGCCCCGCAGGACCGTGGCTTTGTTTGGTGGGACCTCAACGTCCCCGTCTGCTTCCCTTGTCTCCATTGGCTCCGAATGATTCTCTGTGGGAGGAAACAGAAACCGCGTGGCTGAGCAACGCAGGAGAACGGTGTCGCTGGGCACTTTGCTTTCACAAACAGCCTTTCTATGCAATATCACCTCTGACAAGTACAGCTAAGCCACGGCTTGTGTCACTGAGTAAATGTGTCAGTTTATTTGCTAAGTACAAGGAGGGGCAAAAGTAGGTTTACAGTTGTGAATATGCAAAACTTTACTCTCTTATGATTATTTAATATTATATTATTTTCCAGAGGAACTACTATTATATAACTTACTTTTGTCCCACCCTGTAAGTTATGTTTACTCCAAGTTGCACAGAAGAATAGAAAGTTATCTATTCTCCATAAGTAGGTCCAGGCTAATGTCTAACAGTCACAAGAAGGATCACGAGTGGACGAAAGCAACATCAGAAATAAATGCAACTTTGGACCCATCTGGCTGCAACTTTGGATCCATCCAGAGGGCAGACAGGTGCAGGCCTCGAGACGAGAGTGACTGGCAAAGAGCCCACTGAGTCCCAGGTGGGAATGCTGCTTGGAGTGTGGGAACTCACCCACAGATACTCACATAATGCATAGTCTGTCTCGAGATACGATATCCCTCTGGTGCTTCAAGGGACATCCATGTCTGTGTAGCTATATTTCACTATTTTCTTAATATTTAATAATATTTAAAAGAAATCTGTAATTTTAAAGTTTGGGCCCTGGCCGGGTAGCTGTGTTGGTTACACAACAAGGTTAGGGGTTCAATCCCCAGTCAGGGCACATACAAGAATCAAGCAACAACTGCATAAACGAGCGGAACAACAAATTGCTATGACTCTCTCTCTCTAAAATCAATCAATTACAAAAAATTTAAAGAGTTTGTGAACTTTCCATCCTGGCAGACATACAGAGGTCTCAAAGCTCACCAGGTACAAGTAAGTTCTGGTGAAGGAAGACTCGGAAAAGAACGCCGTTTGTTTTCTCCGTTTGATTTTGAAACTGAGGGTTGTCCCTTCCACGAGGGGACAGACACTACAGGACCTGGGGTCCAGGCTACCCATTTTCCTCTTCTTGCCCCACCCAGCATTTCGATCTTGTGAATCTGATTATGGAGCCACTGGTGGGAAGCCTTTCCATTTTAATAGGCAGATGGCCTCTGTGCCATCCTCCTGCGGTATAACCCACCCCACTGCCTGCCCAGGCTGTCCACTCCACACTGCAGCCGGAGAGAGCTGTGAGGAACTCATTGGCCTGCACCAACACACAGTAACCTGGCACCACGGGCTGGGCGGCGGCTGCAGCCTCATCTTTGGTGGCTGGCCAGCTGCAGGTGAGGAGGTCATGGGGTGAGGTGTCAACGCCATGGTCAACTCAGTCCTCAGGGACAGTGTGGCTGCAGGGCTGATCCGAGTGGAGCAAATTCCAACCAAAGGAGAACGTTCACGTCTGCATAGTACATGGTCACACTTGCATGCACACACATACATACACATACACACACATTTCACACATATACACGCACACCCACAAACGCACACATTCACATGTGCATAATATACATGCACACATATGCATTCACACACAGAGATGCACACATACGAACTTATACACACACATGTGGCCAAGGCTATTGCTTCTCCACTTAAATCTTAAGTTTGGTTTCACGATTGCTACCAGAACCAAAGCAAAGCAAATACAATATTGACTTTGTACAATCTCCCGCTTTCTGAGAATAGTAACTCCTATCTGATGGCATTTTCAAGACATTCGATACAATTTTACACAAATTGAAGGCCTGGCTACAAAAATAAAAATTTTATTGCTTATGAAAACAATTCATATACAATCTTAAGACAATAAAGAATAAGACATTTTTGAGAACATGGAAAATATTTATTCTATTACATAACAGGTTTTTTATTCTCTAGTGCAGTTAATTTGGCAGGAGCCACATACCTGGAATGCTTATTAATCTGCAAAATTAGGCAGCCAACTCATTTGATGAGTTACAGTTTTGTGGTGATTAACACATATATTGTATATTGGGCTACAGCTTGGGGCTGAATTACAAGGCCAAGCCTGGCCTTCAATGTTGCTATTGTAACTGGGTCCCCAAAACTGGTTAGCATTCACCCTGTCTCCTTTAGAAGCACTTAGGACAGAGCACAGAAAACACACAGGAGCAAAGCCAGCCATATGTTGTCAGGATCTGATGGAAAACAGATGGCCTGGGGAGGGAGACACCAGGTGTATCTAGACAGCACCTGCCCACCGCCCAAATGCACCAGGCAGAGAGAGATCTAGGTATGCCCTGAACGCACCTGTTGCCTCCATGGAACTTTCTGGAGGTGCCGCCCACATGTAGGAGCTGGGGCTCCCATTCCTACTCAGCCCTGAACTCTATCGGGCAGGATGGGCGTGGCAGCAGCACCTGCAGCTACAGGCCTAGTTCAGGTGCCATCTGCAGCATCCTCCATCCAAACACCAGATGGGACCATCTGAGCCTCTGGGTACCACTCAGAGTACTTGACTTCATAGCACTAGCAGTCCAAGGCCTTTCTGCTGCCAGAGAGACCCCTGCCATCCAGTCCTGCTTAAAAACTGCCCAGCCAAATCTGGTTTGGCTCAGTGGATAGAGCGTAGGCCTGTGGACTGAAAGGTCCTGGGTTCGATTCCGGTCGAGGGCATGTACCTTGGTTGCGGGCCCGTCCCCAGTAGGGGGGGTGCAAGAGGCAGCCGATTGATGATTCTTCTCTCATCGATGTTTCTAACTCTCTATCCCTCTCTCTTCCTCTCTGTAAAAAATCAAATAAAATATATTGGGGAAAAAAAAAAAAACCTGCCAGGGCTCCTGGTGCCCTTGGAGAAAGGCCGGGCTTCCTGCCCGACTGCCCACTGAGACCTCCTCGCCTCCCTCTAACCTGCAGGAAAGCGGCTCCCCAGACCCAGACTTTCTGCCCAGGCTGTCTGCACTCAGCAAGCAAAATACTTCCGGTTGCGCACACCTCCGGTTGCGCACACCAACAAGTCAGCCCAAGACTAATGATGTGGCAATCAGTTGCTAAAATATTCGCTGCTAGTATTAGTGGAGAGAAATGGTATGCCTGTGCATGAGACAGTAAGGGAAATGAATGCAACACAATTACAGTAACCAGTCATTAGCGAATGTTGTTGTTCATTATTAATAACTAGAGGCCCGGTGCATGAAACTTGTGTGAGGGGTAGGGGAGTTCCTCTCAGCCCAGGCTGCATCCTCTCCAATCCAGGACCCCTCAGGGGATGTTCGACTGCCAGTTGCAGTCGGACATCCCTCTCAAAATCTTGGACCGCTGGCTCCTAATCACTCACCTACCTGCCTGCCTGGTCACCCCTAACTGCCCGCCCCCCTGCCAGCCTGACCGCCCCTCACCGCTCCCCCTGCTGGCCTGGTCACCTCCAACTGCCCCCCCTGCCAGCCTGGTCACCCCACACAGCCTGCTTGTTCAGCCGTTTGGTCATCCCTCACTAACCCCCCTGCCTGTCTGGACCCCACACAACCTGCTTGTTCAGTCATTTGGTTGTCCCTCACTAACCCTCCTGCTGGCCTGGTCATAGGCAGCCATCTTGTGAGGGCACGATGGTCAATTTGCATACCACCTCTTTATTATATAGGAGATTCTGCATAACAGGATACTATAAAAATTAAGTTATGAAATTTTTATTAAAGTGTTTCTTATATACCATTATATTGGCTGGGCTCAGAAATATTTGTTGTGGACCGCATGCAGCCCATGGGCCGTGAGTTCGACATGCTTGGTCTAGCCAATAAGAAATACACCAAGACCCACAGATGTCACTTCCAATTTTGTAGGAGCCACATTTTAAAGTGGTTTTTAAAAATATTTTTATTGATTTTTAGAGAGAAGAAAGGAGGAGGACAGAGAGATAGAAACATCAATGAGGGAGAATCATGGTTTGGCTGCCTCCTACATGCCCCCTACTGGAGATCAAGCCCACAACCCAGGCATGTGCCCTGATGGGGAATCGAACCTTAGACCTTCCTCTTGGTGCATGGGTTGATGCTCAACCACTGAGCCACACCAGCTGGGCTAGGAACCACATTTTAAAAAGCAAAAGAAATATGTAAAGTTAATTTTAATGAGATTTTATCTGTTTAATTCAAAGGAGACAAAATATTTCCACATATAATAGATATAAAGGGATTATTAGTGAAATACTTCATAGCCCCCTTTTTTTCAGACAAAGTCTAAAATCCAGGGTGTATTTTCACTTGCACTACATCTCATTTTGGATTCGTCACATTTCAAGTGCTCAAGAGTGACATGTGAAAGTGGCTACCGAGGGGCCTAAAAGATCAAGATGAGAGGGAGGTTATGGAAAATGAGGCTGTTAAGCAAAAAGAAACATCTATAGCAGCCAATTTCAACCATCTTAATATCATGACACACATAAAGTAATTACTAAAATTCTGCAGCACACCAAAAAAATATATACTCTTTGCCAATCTGACAAAAAAAAAAAAAAAAAAAGTATAAATTTGATTCGTTCGCACCAAATTGTTGTGTTGGCTGTTGTCATATTTTTATTCGGGGAAAGAGGTCATGTTTTAAACATTCTATCAGCACACTGGTTGAAAGTTGCTAGTGTACCAAGTATGCCCAGCTAAAGTGTCACACGAGCAGTCGCTGAGGTCATGGTTACTGTTACCGTTCCAGCCAGAGCGTGAGAACTCCAAGAGCGCTTTGGTCCCCGCATTGCTGGCCGTCCGTCTACAGGAACCAGACACACACACAGCCTGGAGGCAGTGCACAAGTCAGTGACCACAGCTACTGTCCACGTGAGCAATAAAGCAGGCAGCGACATCACCCGGATGAGAAAGAAACTGCAACACAAGTCACTCAGGTTCCAAAGGAGTTGGGGGTCTGTGGCCGAGGAAGGTCAGAAGAGAGATACTTAGGGATGAGTCCCAGATTTGTGGATAAAGCTATAGACAGGTCTGGCAATGGAAGAGAATAAAG